TCTCGCTACGTCAAATTATTACACCAAATACCGGGTGAGGGCCGAGTAAAAATTTAGGCTGCATCCGAGTTGTGGTCAGAGACGATTTTTGAGATAAGGACATATAACAGTTGCGGTCACGCGAATTGTAGGCAATATCCTAGTTGCGATCATATACCTATTACTTATCTGTAAAGTCTGTAAATAAAAAAATAAAATAAATAAAATTGTGGCGTACATATAACTTTTGTATGGGGGGGGGATCAATTGCAAACAAATTATTATGGAAGAAAAATTCCTTGACCAAAGGACTTGCACATTCAAAATAATAAATTATAAAATATATATATATATAAATTGAATGTGTCAAAATAATAATTTATAATAAATCTTTGAAATATTTTTTTGTTTCCTTATAATTTCCTTACATTAAGAATACTATTTTATACAGTTTGTTACGTTCTGCGTAGTCACACATGAACACTTACATAACAAGGGAGTTCCTGTGAACACATCTATGGATGGTAACACATAATCTATTTACAATTATTTAGCTAATCAAAACTACACATAATTATTTAGATAATAAAAACCACAACTGTGGATAAGTTAGATTATTAAATTAAAATAAGTAATAAAAGCGACAGTAACCACATCCTGGATCTGTGCGTCACTGAATATAGGCCGGTCGAGAGATAATTCACAAATACAGATTTCACAGGAAATTATCTTATTTTATTATCAGTTTTAATTTACACACACACACATACTCAGATATAAAAGGGACCGAAAACAAGGGCAAATCAGACGAGTTTTGGCTATGCTGCACTGAGCACCTTCACGTCAGTGTATGTCATGATCCGAACTTAGAAATACGATATACGATAATATTTCAAACTATTTTTATAAGTCATAATTGTTAGGACTTAGAATAATTTCTACAAATCCAAATTGTTTGGACTTAGAATATTTACAAAATTTTAGTATAATTTTATAAGTTTAAATAAATTAAATTATTATAAAGAGTCTTGATTATTCTTCACTACACATACAACCAAGCGTTGACTGAGACGTTAACACTGAAATCACGGATCGAATGGTTGGCACGTAATAAGTTTTTAAAAGTCCTATGGGGGGGATCTAACCCCCACATCGCCCCTTGTATACGCCCCTGTAATAGTAGTATAATCACAAACTAGATGATCACCAATCAATGGTACGACAAAAGGTTAGTTACAGTGTTAAATGTAAAGCAGTGGAGCATTTGAGCGAGCGTCCCTCCAATATTTTTAATTCTGAGATGTCAAGTACAGTACTCAGTGTACTGGGGTCAAATGGCGTTACATTAATTAGAAAAAATATACACACTGCAAGAATGAATGTTCACCAAAAGTTGCCGCGTGACTTTTCACTATTACTACTGTCATTTCAAACCTACACAATAAAAATAGTGTAGACAGTCCTAAGTCTGTTTATAAAATGAAAAGGAAAATGTTGAAACTTTTTTGTAAATAAAATAGCATAGTATATACCATATGTATATGATATATATTTAGATATATATTTTGAGTGACCGCAACTAGTACGTAATTTTTGATTTTGACCGCAACTAGTATAGGTACACCGAAAATTTAGTGTTAAGCCAAGTTAAGACAGGTACATGGTATAAGCCGTCTTAATGATGACACCGAGTACCCAGTTATTGAATAATAATTTCGGTATCAGAAACATCCCTAGTTTATACAATGTTAATACATTTGTAATGGTTTTTTTTCGCATATTTTTTAAATTAATTTTCATGTGTATAAATATGTGCATATTCAACAATATTTTTCGCATACAAATCCCAGCTTTATTTATATCCATCAGATAATTAATAGTTTTAATTGATTTATTTGTACACTACCAAGCAATTTTTTTATATTTTAAGCAATATTCTATTATATAATTTTCTTTCAAGTCTCGTTTACCGAACCATAGTCTTGTCAATTGTTAAGTCATATTGACTGAAAAATAAAGAGGCTTAATATTTCCTAACATCTGTTTTTCTTCACATAATATGAGTGGAAAGCTCATAAAGTTAAGTAATGTTGATTGTTAACACTAAACAGTAATAGTTCTATTATATTAAAACTACCGATGTTAGGATGTATTTATAAATATAAAATTTATCAATTAAACAATTTTAACGCTGTTGTTATTAATATAATTTTTTTTATGTTGGGTACAACGGTTGAATATATTTGTAAAGATATATTTACCACAGAGGGCTTATTCGTTAACCTGGCACTGTTTATCACATTTGTTCCATTAGTTTAAAAAAGTTTAAAAATTACACTACAACAAAACATTAATACTTTTAACTGCAATTAAAAAATTAAAAAAGTAAAATCAAAATTGTGTTTTATCCCTTAAACGGTTTCGAAAAATCATTTTTTAATTTTTAATTTCTATCCAATTGTAAAATAGCCATTTTATGAAAGAATATATGTTAAATTAAAATATTAAATTAATGCAATTAATGGTTTCATAGTTATAATTAGTTGAAATTTTAAAAAGGTAGACGATACAATTCAGTGCAATGACTATTTTATTAAATTAGATAACCTTTAAAACAGTAGGCTATATTAGGTACACCAGCATTCATTAATAACTGTGATAGTAAGACTGCTCACAAATGTGTAAAGTAAGCATATTTATTAATGCGATTAAGAAGAGATAAAATTATTAAATTTATACTAATTTATTACAATACCTAGCCATTATATCGAACCCGTCACCGTACATACATTAGTGTCTAATGGGGAAAATCCGGATTCGCTGAGGTTTTGAAGTTCGAAATTCAGATTTCGGATTTGAAAACATTGAATTAGTATTCTTTCAAGAATTATTTATATTAAATACAAAATAATTAAACATTCTCTAAATTAAATAATATTTTAACTTAAGAATCTCATATACAAGTTTTTGTGTAATATTAAATACGTAAGTCGGATATAAAATACATTTTAGTTATTATTAGTTGTATCTCCAAAAGTAATGGTACGTAAGACGAAGTGTTTACCAATTATTAAGATATCTTAATTAGACCACCATTATTTTGTCCAAAAATTAAAATAACGACTACAAAGTGGTGCAATGAAAGTTATATGATTAGAATACAGAAATTTTCAATAATAAACCCAAATTTCAGATTTTTAAATATTAAATCCGAAATCCTGTTTTGGCAGATTTTCGAAGAATCCGGATTTCATTCCCATCACTAATATACATATAATAGAACATTTGAAATTTAAAAATATTCAATAGTCTAGAAATTAGGAGTTAGTTAAATTCTTATGTTCTACACAAAAAATATAAGACTTACAGAGTGTTAATTTTGAATTTTTAAATTCTAAAGTCTTTCAATTAATAATGGAATGTATTTAATTGAAAATTGCTTACTTTGATGATTACATAATTACAGTTACATTTCATAATATTTATGTACATTTCTTGCTTCATTACACTCAAAATCTTATATTCATGAAGTTAATTCAATAGGTTTTTTACTAAGGACGTAGGTAAATATTATTTATGGAGTGAGGGAATTGATATATTTAGGTAATAGTTATTTTATTATTACCTATTTATTTACAAGCAAGGTTTTCGCAAAGGGGGGTTGAAACCCTCCTACCTAAGTCACTGGTTTTTAGGTTCACTATAATCAAGTTTAAAATAAATAAAAACTTTTCGACATAAGCAGAGGTGGATTTCCCAATAGGTAGCGTAAGCAGCTGTCTAGGGCGTCAAATTTTGTAATGGTTTATTAAAATAGGTACACCATTCGTATAAAAATAAAGGAAATTTGTTATTTTATAATTACATAGTTAAATTATATGATGTTTATTTAATTAATAAAACAATGGTGATTCATAAAAATTATCATCATAATGTAGGGGACATCAACTGAAATTTTTCTCAATTAAAAAAAGTAAAAAAAAGAAACTAAATGTGAAAAAAAATTATATAAAAATTGAAATAGATTGAGGTACAATTAAATTTAATAAAAGGGATGGCAAAAGTTTAGTGTCTATAACTGTAATTAAGTTAAATCCACCTCTGGGCATAGGTCAACAGAACTCGTCGGTAAACCTGACTCGAGAACTTACGAATAGAACCTGATTTTGCGATTCTTAAGCGTCGTGTGAGTATCTCAACCTATTTAAAGGTAGGCTTCTATAATAATTACAGCATAGTGATCACGAATTTTCGAAATAACTACCATAGTTACAAAATCCATGAACTTTTTATCAGCCTTGAACAGGTTTAAAGAGAGGTTTTGGAAATTACTTTGTTTGAGTGTAAATTAAATCAATTTTATGTTGGCAAGCATCCAATTTATGCACCTTACGTCAATAAAATTCCCGTTATTAGTTCCCATTAAAAACTATAATCTTCCCGTTACGTGACCAAAACAAATACTTTAAGCGCAAATATATAAACTATGCTCATTGTTAAAATACAAAAACATTGATAAAGGAGCTAATAATAATCAAGCATAATCGCGTAACTTTACAAAAATGAACAATTAATAAATAACATAATATCTATATAACTATAATATTAGGTAATCAATTTTTTTTTTTTTTAATTTGTCTTAATCAATTATTTTATTTTTATTTTATTTGGTTGTATTTGATAAAACTTAAGATTTTAATACAAGCAATAGATACCTTTTAATCTTTATTACATGATATCAGAGGCGGATAGGCTAAATTAATGTTACCGGGAAATGTATTTTCCGTACGGGCCCAATAAAAGTAAAAGAAATACATTTTTATCACGCGCATATAATACATATTTTTTATATTTACAAATGTAATCATTAATCAATTTTTCATATAATAGTTAAAAGTTTAGAATTTAGATGCTATAATATTTTTAAATATACGTTTTCATAATACCTACAATAACACTATAATAATATTATATCAGAATTTATGAACTACAAAGTCTTACATTTTAATACTTAATACTATTCAATACTGAAGCACTTTTTTGAGGAGATCACTTTTGGTTGAAATTTTGTTTATTATATCATTATTATCGAGATCCATTAAAATGACTTTTTCTACACTCATTAACATGAGTGTTTCAAGGTTCTGCTGACTTAAAGTACTTCGAATTGATGTTTTCACATGTTTTAATTTAGAAAAACTACGTTCACATGACACTTGGCTCACTGATAAAGTTAATGATAGTTTGTAAGCTAAATAAAGTCCTGGATATGCATTGGTATACAGATTATAGCGAACCAATACAAAAAAACAGCAAATGTGACACTTTTTGTCAGATGATTTACAACAAGAACTTTCTTGCGGTATGTTATCTAATATTGTTTCATCTATCAAATCATTGTTTTCATAATCTTCTTTATCGGAGCTATTATTTGATTTGGTGTTGTAATACTCTTTTGTCAAAATTTGACTCAATGTTTCCCATTTTATAGCAAAATCCTGCAATTCTTGCTGTAAAGATTGTAAAATTATATCATTATTAAATTTTTTTATTATACTAAATACTTTTTCTAAAGAATTTGGGGGTATTTGTCTTGAAATTTCTTTGAAATTTTGTGGATCTAAGCATAAAAAATCAGCGCAGAGTTGTCCGTGTTTTTCAAAACGGGTTCCCAAACTATTAATAATTGTATCAATCATTGAATTATAAACATTAAATTCATAATTATAAATAAAATCAATGCTTTGTTCATCTTCAGATTCATAAGAGAATAAACGTTTTATTTTACGTTGGCGAACTTCTGGAAAACTATCTTCTACAGTTAAATTACTTTCAAGTGATTCTAATTTTATATTGGCCCCTTGAACGAATTTATTTGCCGCTTCTTTGGTGGCGGAAAAATCTCGAGATATATCTTTAATACTACTTATTATATTTGTTACCATTCTATGAGCTTGTAATAAATCTAGACCTCGCGTCTGCAAATATTTTGATAAATATGTGGTGTATTTAAAGATACGTAAAAATGTTTGGGCTGTTAAAATAGTTTCGTATTTACAAAGAGATTCCAATAAACCTTTTGACTTGTAGCGTATATCTGATTTAATATTAGAATCTGTGTATATCTCTTCTAGCGTTGTTATTAACTCAATATAAAGACTATTTTCTTGTTCATTAAAATGTCCAAATGTTTTTAATAAAGCTATATCTTTTGCCCACCATCTAGTTTGTCCAATGGTACCAAGTCGTTTATTTGAACACTTTTCTAACCAAATATCCATTCTTTTGTATGATTCTCTAATAAATACAGCACAACTATTGAGTAAACCAAACAAAGATAATGCTTCTACTTTATTTTCAGTAACATCGTAAATGACTAAGTTTAAGACGTGTGCATAGCACCAAATATGTAGTTGGGTAGCACCCGTTTCACTGAGTTTTGCCGAAAACCCTCTATATTGCCCCTGCATATTAGCCGCTCCATCAGTTGAATTTCCCACGCAATTTAATATATCAATATTTGCTGTTTTAAGAACATTCAGCAATAGTTCAACAAATGCTTCTCCAGTCGACGATTTACATTTTACCATAGCTAATAATCTTTCTTTTACACTAAATTTTGAAACATATCTTATTATTATTGAGCATTGATCACTTATTGAAGTATCTTGGGTTGTATCCAGCTGAATTGAGTACAACCCAGCCTCGATAACTTCTTTTGAAATACTAGATTTTATCATAGAAGAACAAGTATCCAATATATAACCTACAGTAGTCTTAGATAGAAACGTTAAGGTACTATCTCCTTGTTTAGAACCGGAATTATGACATAATTTACTTTTTTCAATTGAAGAGTCAACGTGTAATCTTAGAATAGGGTCATATTTGCTTAATAAAATAACCGTTTCAAGAAATGTGCCATGGTCTATTGTATGGTCATTTAGGGTATACGAAGCTTCATTGGAACTTGTTCCTCTATAACTAAATCCACGTTTTCCTATCATTTTAATTATATTAATGATTCTTGTTAGTACCTGTCTCTTTTCATCTACTTGTTTTTTTCTCAAATTACATTGGTCATATATAAGTAATTGATCAATCGAACTACTACTATTTTTCAAGAAGTAAGCATTTACACTATTACCATGTGTTTTACTTTTTTCATGCTCTTCAATACGTTGGTAAATATGTCGCCAATCATTTACGCCTACTGTAAATGTATTTTTGTCACACACAGATCCAAACGCTAGACATATACTACAAAATAAAGCTGAATGTTTGGAACTATAAGTTAACCAAATTCGTTTACTACCATCATAACGATAGAATGCTCTATTTGATGTAAAAGGAATGTCTCTATCTGATTGATTTGGATGATACAACATAAAATAATTAATAAAATTATAGTTTGATTTTCTAAAATAGTCTATTTCGTTAATTTCATTGATATTATTTATCGGTTTTTCAATAATAATGTCCTTATTTGTTTTCAACACACTCTGCTCATTCTGACCAACATTATTTTTATTTAAAATTTCAATTTCTAATCCAATTGTTTGATGTTCAATAGGTAAAGGCAGTTTTTTGATACTATTAACATTTTGTTCAATATTATCAGATGTTTCAGAAGTTGTTGAAAATTTAAAAAAATTATTTATTTTCATACAAGTTTTTCCTTGTTCAATTAATAATTGTTTTTGTTTTTCTAGACGTTTTTCATGGCCACTTTTAAATTTTTTTATTTTTGGTTGTTGGTCATCCATATTATCTACTGTTCGATCGAATAATATAATTATTAAGTGTAAAATTATTTTTACTCACTTGAAAACAGAAGGCGGAGACTGAGGAGAGTATTCAAAAATAAAAATCTGTATGTTGTTTCGGTAGCGAAATAAGAAAAAATATAAAATAGTTTATAATGCAGTCGGATAATATTATTGTGGCAGTTCACATTAGTATTTCGTACAAATGTAGAATGTACCGAAATTCGATAAAACTCCGATTAGATAAGGTCGACCGCCACGCGCCGATGCTATATAGATTGTATTAATGTAAGTATGTGGGGCCATACGTTCTATTATTGTTAATTTTAGTATTTAGCTTAATTTTCATTATCTGTAAAATTATTATTTATTTTATTAGGTATAAATTGTATAAAAAGTTACATATTAGTTCGGCCCAGTGTGGATGTGTATATTTTTAAGTATTGACTATTGAGTAGCTACTATATCGAACTCTGTAATTATAATAGTGTATAAACAAAAAAAAATTATCATAGAGAGGAAGGCCTACCAGGATTTGCCCGGTATCCCGGTGGGCCTATCCGCCCCTGCATGATATATAAGTTAAATAATATTAACTAAAATATTACATTTCAATACTTAGCAACAAGACTTACTACATCGATTTTAGTTCAGAATGATTTTTTCAAATGTCGATTAATTATTGCTTTCAAGTTTTGAGTTTTAATAATTCGGTATCTGTAACTTAAACAACTAGAAAAGTAACAAATATACCTTACATTAAGAAATTGTAGTCCCTCCTAATTTTCTAGGTATAGATATTATGTAAAATATAATTCAAACAGAAATTATAGTTATCAATAACAGTTATTACTTGGTTACTAATCTTAGTATGCATACAATTTAGCAAAAATAAATTATGAATAGTAATAAATACTAATGCTTGTATAGTATATGGATAAAGAATACAAGTTGTTATGCGCTCATGTTTATAAGTAAATTAATTTATTACCAAACCATAACATTCTTTAAAATATTATATATTTTCAATTTTCTATGACACTGATGTTATATATGTATACATTAGGTCCTAATATTTTTATTTAATAGCTTTAATTGCTTGTTAAAATAATATATGAATACAAACAAATGAAAAAAGACAAAAATAAATATTTTATCTTGGACACATGGCATGTCTTCCACCATCAACTAAAAGTGAATCACCAGTTGAAAAACTAGCATCGCCAGCTAAAAATGCAATAGCTTTGGCCACTTCTTCAGGAGTCCCTGGTCTTCCTAAAGCATGTGTAACTTTAGTTTTTTCTAAAAATATGGCATAATCTTCTTTACTCATTCCTTGTCTGGTTAAAATATTTGTTTCTACAACTCCTGGGTTAACACTGTTTACACGAACACCTTTTGGAGCTAATTCTAAAGCTACACATCTTGTAAATTGATCTACTGCTGATTTTGACATACAGTATGCCAATACATTAGCAAATGATCGTACTCCATTTACACTAGATACATTGACTATATTACCTTTAGTTTTAATCAAATGAGGAACAGCTAACATGGTCAAATGGTAAATTGATCTAACATTAGCATTCATTATTCGATCATACTGATCAAGCGATGTTGATTCAATGGATCCACTTTCTAAGATTCCTGCATTGTTGACTAAAACATCTAATTGATTGTAATGAGAAATAGTAGAATTCAATATATGTTTAGTATCATCTTCATTTGTCAAGTCTCCAGTAACCAGAAATGGTTTTAATGAGAAACTTTGTTCACATTGATCGGCTACATGTTGTAGATTGACAAGATTACGTCCTGTAAGTGCCAATTTTGCACCCAACTTGGAAAAATGTATTGCAGTTGCTGCACCGATGCCAGAACTAGCACCGGTAATCAATATAATTTTACTATGAAAACTCATTTGAACAATAAACTATAAGTAATTATCACACAAATTAAAAAATTACCAACATTAACATTAATTACTTGTAAGTAGATGAAGAATTTTAACACTTAAATTATTTATTGTACTAATATGAATAACTCAAGGTTTGAATAGATAATATAATAAATAATCCTTGAAACATACAACAGAATAATGACATCAAAATATAAAAAGAAGTACAATTTCGATTTCAAAAAGATTAAAAACACTCCTTATGAAACTCTAAATAGAATTAAATAATTTAGAACTAAATAGAATTTTATCAGTGGTAATGGTTAACTGATCTGAGGAGATAATAACAGGAAAATAACATCACAAATTTCTATCGAGATAAAGAATACACAGTATTAATAATACAGTATATTCTTTATCTCGATGCAAATTTCACAATCTACAGTTATCACCAATTTTTACTTTTGATATCAAGTTTATAGTAACATTACCAAATAAAATGTTACTAACCAATCAAATGTAATCACAATTTTAGTAGCAGCACAGATTGTGTAAATATAATCAGTGGTAGTGGTGTGTTGTCATAAGTTTTATTATAGCACAATAGTAGTTACTTATAATACCTTAGTTTTATTAATTATTATTATCACAAGTGTAAGGTAAAGACTAGAGATGTAAGCTCGGTAAATTTTTACCGCGTAAATTTACCGGTAAGGTAAATTACCAGTAAATTTACCAATTATTTTTTTACAGATAAATATTATTTTACCGAAAATATTAGCACGTGACACCTTAAATGATACGTCTTAACGACATGAATATTCTTAATATATTAATATAATGGAATAATTTAAAAAAATCAAGTATTCCTATAAATAAACCTTGCAAAGAGAGACAGGTAAATACAATATGTCATGACACTAATGAAATCGACTATCAATCTACACCTGGACCATCTACACCTGGACCATCTACACCTAGACCATCTACATCAAAATCTAAAAATATGTTAAACTTAACTTCTAGTTCTTTCTCAGAATCTTCAGAAGAAGATTGGAATTAAAAAGATTTATTTGGTGATACTCTATCCTCTAGATCATACTGGGAAGAATTATATTAATATTTTTAATTTTGATTTTATACTTATTAATTATTTATTATTAATAAGATTTTTTTATAATTTTGTTACTCAGTGTATTTCACCATTTATCACACAATAACCAGATTGGTAAAATGTATTTATTTTATTTTTATTATTAAATTATAATTTTAACTAATTATAACTCGAGGAAAAGACAAATGAAATATAAAACTAAAAGACTAGAATATTGTTTTTTTGTTGTTGATGTTATAGTTACCTAATGAATCTGATTTGATTAATTTACAATTTATTTTATTGGTAGATATATTTATAATATTTTTATTTATAATATTTTTATTCATAATATAAAGTAATTGAAAATACATGAAAAGAAGTCAATAATAAGTAATAACACTACTAGGGACTTATATAAAATCATATATTAAATTATAATACCATGAACACCACACTATCCAGTAAATAATAAAAATAAGCATTACAATAATTATAAGTTCATGGAAAAGTGGAAGTGAGGAGTTCCTAAGGGTGTTCCTATGGCGACATACAAAAATTATCAAAATTTACCAAATTTACAGAATTTACGTAAATTTTTCTCTGTAAATTACCAAAAAAAAAAATTTACGTAAATTACATCTCTAGTAAAGACATTATTCACACGCCATGCGTTAACATGCCTTTACAGGCCACGAATTTGAAATCACGTGTTAACCCATTAATTTTTAAATATCAATCAGTTTTGTGATCATATTTAAAACATGCAATGCATTCTCATTCAATCAATAAAGTTAATTACGTAATTTTTTCATTTGTCATTCCCACTGATTTAAGTTCATTAAAATATTACATAAATTAATTATATAATTAAATAATAATATATATATATATATTTTACTTGTTTATTTTATTCTACTTCACTAATTTGTGAATTTTAAAATGTCCTTATAAAACAAAGAAAATTTGATTTAAAATGTGCGTGCTCGTAAATCTTTATACGATATTTTTTCTTTGGACTATAAAAACCAAAACGTTCGGCAAACATAAATTTTACGTATTTTATTATGCATGTTATCCCTCTTGTTGTAAATAATTTGCACAGTATCATATAACACGTATTACCAGTGGCGTATCCAGAATTTGTTTTTTTTTTTGGGGGGGGGGGGGTTATAAAAAATGTAATATTAAATTTTTTTGTCAATTTTGTGTGTGTTTTTTATAATCAATAGACAATATACATACACTAAACATTTTCGTGGGGGTTGTAATCCCCTACCAACCACTAGATACGCCACTGCGTATTACTACGGCGTGGTGTGTGAATAGTGTATGCTCTACCTCAAAGTGCAGAGTATTCTCGATGTTGGCTCGATCACTGACAACTAGTGGTTTTATTTTTTATGTTCCGTAGTTTTAACAAAGAAATAATATTTGAAATATTCAGTAGATTATTGATAACGATATACGGTTTGCCGCTCTTTCTTTTTCTTATCTTATCTCTAATTTAAAGTTACTATGTTTTGTATTATTAGTTATAATTTTGTTGCTATTTTACCTCATTTGGGTAGTGTTTTAGTTAAGTGTTTTTAATTTTTCGGTTTATCTAATATTAAAACTTCAAGAGTAAAATTCACAGATCACCGTGATCATTATAATATATATTTGCAAATTATTTTTATTAAAATTATAATTTAAGTGAAAATATTAAATTTGTTTAAAAAATGTCTCAAGGTGAATTCAGGTGAGTGAATAAATCACAATCAATACTTTAAATGTTCAAGTCTTTTTATAATTTATGCATTACTTTTATCAAGTCTCTATGTGAGAACATCTGAAGATGTGAAAACAGTTATAGAACATGCAAAACTTTCAGAAAATGATCTAAAATCAAATGTACAACCTATTTATTTTAGTGATAGTTTTGAAAAGTACAAAATGTTGGAGTTAGATGAACACATATTAAAAGACCTTAAATGTGGTCAAAAGTATGTATATATTTATAATCGTATTAATATATTGATGTTTATTGTTTTAAAACTATAATATTGATTAAATATAAATAATTTTAGTGAACATTTAAATTGAAAAAAATTGTTGATCTTTGCTAATTGTTTATTTATTTATATTTTACATAAAAATATTTAAATTTTTAAAAGTATTTTGTATTTAGTTTTCTTAATAAGTTGATTAAAAGCTTAAATCAGTGGCGCCATTTCAGTTTTTAATAGAGAGGGGCAAAGTTTTTGACTGGCCCATACTACTGGGGGAGATATGGAGTTTCGTTCTCACATTTTAACTTATACTTAAGGCACATATTTTATATATTATATAAATATATAACTTACATTTTTACAAAATATAATTTTGTATTTTATAAGCATTACCTAAACAAGGTTAACTTAATCTAACTTAATTCTATTTAATCTAAGCTGTAAGCAGATATCATTTATTTTTCATTTTTGAAAATACATCTACTGCATAATCTAAACTGATTTTTGCAGCAATATCAGTTTCATAAGCTATAACCGAAAATTACTCAGCCGATCATTGCCCATAGTCAAGCGTAGATAGGTTTTAATTAATATAAGGGAAGAGAAAAAACATTCATCGGAAGCAGTTGCTACAGGCAAAGTTAAAAGCATATTTATAATTTTAAGAGTTTCAGTAAAAGCTTTAGGAAGTTCATTTAAAATTTCAGAAATAGAAAAAAGATCATGAATTACATTATCTTGTTCTTTATTAGAATAATTTAAGTTAATTAATTTGAGTTTTTTGCACGTAAGAATTCAGTTTAAAGTATTAAATTACCAATTTAAAAATGACTATAATGATTATGGAAAGACAATTTTGAAATTAAAATAATCAGGACTGGAAGCTAAGAAAATATTACTATTCAAAATAATTTCATTGCTAGAATTGCTGAAACAATGGCTAAATTCATTCAAAAATCTAATATTCTTGTAAAATGCTCATAAGTCTATTTATAGTTTTTACCAATTGGCAATTATCAAATATTTTGGCAATAAATAATTATCTAGTAAGCAATATTTTCAAAATTATAAAAATACGTTTGATTTTTCACAAATAACGGCTTATGGCTAAACGACAACGACCGGCCCTTTGGGATGCTTTTTAATCAAACAGGAGCAAATTCCTACCTTGTTACCCCCAAATGACGCCACTGGCTTAAATGTATTTTTTTGTGAAATTATAGAGTAGTATTTAAAGGAGAACAAAATGAATCTGCTGTTTTATGTACTGAAAATAAAACTTATGATGTTAAAGAAGCTGAAACATCAAATTCAATTTTATTACTTCCTGAATTAACATTTCCAAATGAAGATGTTGTTGATGAACAACTTACTATCAGAAAAGTAATTTAATAAGTAAATAAACCCAAGAAAATTTTATAAGTAAATAATTATAATATACAGGTTGTTAGTTTATTTCATACATACTATGAAGTCAAACCATGTAGACCCCGTCTAAAAAAATTGAGAAATTTATTAGAGAAATGCAGCTATAAAGGATCAGAACTTGAAAATGAAGTATTGACATCAAATGAGATGTATAACTTTGAAAAGTTGTCAGCATTAATACAAGCCAGTGATAATGAACTTAAATGTGCTCTTAAAGACTTAGGCGCATTTCAAATTGATGGTAATATAGTTAAAAATATAAATGTTATGTTAGTTATTATAATAGATATTTTTTATGTATGGACTATTTCAGTATGATATTTAATAATTAATATTTATTTAAATTTTCAGGTTATTGGAGAGTTTTAGAGTTTGATTATGAGTGTAGAACTTTATCGTTTTTATTGAATTTGATTGATGAACAGTCATGGCCTTATAATATGTTCCCAATGGAAGAATGCTCTAAGATACTTAATGAACTATTACCTCCTGTGATAGTGGAACACATTATTGACAAATATAGTGTTTGGTGTGTGTCTATGAATTTAAGTAAGTTACAGGAAATATTAAATTTAAATATTTTTAGTCAGAGAAGAATAATATAGAAATTTGAACTGTAAAAAATTCAGAACTACGTTAAAATATGTTTAAAGCAATTTTGGATTGCACTATCATTTTCAAAATATTAATTTACATAGATTTCAAAAGAAAAAATATTAAAAAATTAAACTGCAATTGTTTCAATAAATGTATTTAGTAAATCTTAAATTACTAACAAATAAAATTGAATCATGAATTTTGAAAAGGGCTCATATTGAAAATTAAAATTTTTCAGGAAACTAAAAAAACTGATTTTCTTTGGAATAATTTTCTTTATTTTAGAAATTAACAACAGTTGATTAATTCACACACAATAGCAAAGATATACAAACCTTTCTTGCTCATAAAATATCTGTCTATATGTGTAGATGAAAAAAATGTAGCAAAATCTATTTTGATAAAAACTCGATATAGGCCCATTTTGAAATTCATGATTCAATTATAAGTAGTAACTATTGGTTAGTAAAAAAAAATTTCTTACTGTAGTGTAGGTGATTTTCAATTTTAATTAAAATATTAAGTAAGTTGTAGATATTGGTTTTTATAAATTGTCTTACTGTTAATAATTTTGTTCCAGGGCCGTATTTAGGGGGGATGGAACTACAGGGTGCTGTTGTCCTAGGCGGCTGATTTTTTATATTTTCAATATTTAATGATCTAATATTTTTGAAGTGAAACTCCTTTATAAAATAAAAAGTTTATCTCAAAAAAATATATATATTGCCAATCACGGCGTCACGACACACACACATACTTGGTAATGGTCGAGTACTGTATATAGATCCAAAAATTTACAAACAATCTATTCTTTTATTGATATTGCACTTGAAATGTTTCTGTGTACACCAGCGACGAATTATTCTCCAGAAAGATCTTTTTCAACCTCAGACATTTGTATTTGGTATAATGAAGGAATTTTTATTGTTGCCCCCTAGTGTCAAATTCTTAAATACGGGCCTGCTTTGTTCCAATTAAAAATGATTTTTATTCAAACTAATAGAGTTGTAGCATGACAGCAGCTGTTTCATCGTTTCTAATACATTGATGGTAATTCATCCAGGTTTTTATTGATGAATCCATTTCCTCAATCAAGTGTCCTAAAAACTATCATATTATTATCGTACTATAAATCCATTGTCATCACTGTAGCCAATAGCTATAGTAAAAGCAGGCTTAAATGAATAATAAAATACAATTATATTTTTAAAATGATTTATAGTTAGTTATGTTTTTTATTTTAAACTTAATTTATTATAATTTATTGTTAAATATCAAAATATTAAATTTATTTTTATTTTTAAAGGTCAAACACATAGATCATTAATTGAAGACAAAGTATGTAGGTTTATGGCTGTAGGACTTTTACGTCCATGTGACAAATTTAATTTATCTGATTTTAAAACAGCATGGCAAGGAAGTGTTCCTGAAGGTAAACCTTATTTATCTGATTTTATGTGGCATAAGCTAAAACATATATACGAGTTATTACAAAATATGCTATATGATTTTCCAGGTATGACAACAAATCTGAAACAACTAGAAGGTACAGTACTTGTTGATTTGTCCAGTCATCCACAAACCATATGCTACTTTAATGAACAAGAACTGCCAGATAATATTATGGATAGAATGCAATACTTGTTTGAAGTTAGAGGAAAATGGACATTTAATGAAATACAACCATTTGTCGAGTAATATTAACAAGTTATCTCAGTAGTTTTCAAAAATATTAAAAATATTTTGTTTTTAGGAAATTAGCTACTGATAAAGTAAATGTAAATAATCTATTGGCCAAGTATGCAAGAGCAACCAATGTGGATGGTATAAGGTTTTATTGTTCAAAACACAGTAAACATAACAAATAAAACACATGTTTAAGAGAAAATATTTTTCCAAATATATTTATTGTTTCCATGGTAACATTATGTTTATATGAATTTTATCTCGTCTATTTCAATTCATTTTACATCAGATTTATATAGATAACACTGTATATATGTATTAAATTTAACTTAAGAATGTCTGTCTAAAGTAAAACAATAAAATGTAAATAAATATTAATTTTAAGATATATCTATAGTATATAGTATTTATGTATAAAAAATGTACACATTTAAAAAACAAAAACAAGTTTTTAATAATATATTAATATGTTGTTGACTTACTAAAATTCAATAAGAGAACAAAAATTACATATTATGACAGCCAACAATTTAAATTAAAAAAAAATTACATATTTACATTACAGGAAGTTAATATTTTTTAAATGTTTACAATTACATATACATTTCTTATATTAATACTGACAATTACATAATATCAGCTACTCATTAAAAGAAAAATAATAAATATTATGTATATCAGTCTATGGATTTCGGTAAACAATAATATTAATTTTAATAAGTCTAAGACTGTTCAATTTGATGTGTCTCATCGTTATTGCATAATATAAACAATTGTTATCATTCTGAACCTAATCGTTATTACTTATTACATTTCATATAATTTATTCATTTATTCAGGAACAATGTATTGTTATATTTAAAATTTAAATATTTGACGTTTATGTCTTCGACATACGGACTTGCAACAAGGATCTGAACACGAAGACCACTTAGGACATTTTTTACGGTCACACCTTACTTTTCCATCCTGCAACAATGTTTAGAGAACAATACAAAATTAATGTTATAACTAAGTATAAGAAAAATATTAATTTTGTGAATCTTTAAATAAAATTATTAAATATATAGTAGACTTAATTAATATAATTTATATTTAAGTTAATATAAATAATAACTATTATAAAAAACTATATCAATACTTCAACGTTTTATGATAAATTGATAGTCAGATTTCATAATGAATTGTTTTAATTTCATTTTTAATATGAGTAATTTTTTTTAATACATACTTTACATTTACAGTTAATACATTTGACTTCACCATGCGAGTATATTTTGGGATGCCATTCTTGACCATTCTCGTAAGGTCCTCCAACAGGATAACTGCAACCACCATTTGTCAATATTTCTAAATCTGAACCACTTTCTCCATTTACTTGTTGGTCACCCTGGGCAAGTTGAACAAGTGGCCCTGTTGATTTGGTAGTTGTCTGCAATGTAGACGGACAAACTTTACAACAGGAACGTTTTGTTGGCCTAATGGCTACTCTTTGATCACATTCCAACGGTGGACAGTCCATCCGCTGACACTTGATTTTTAATGATGTATTCTAGAAAATAAATAATACATCTATAAAATTACTATAGTTATTACTATTTCAATCTCAATGGATTACTAACATTACAATGACACAGAGTACAAGTGTCAAAACCATTGGGAGGTAAATAGGGATGCCAATTGCTGCCAGCTTGAAATTGCTGTCCAGCTAGTAAACATGAGTTAGTTGAATTATTTTGATTTACAAATCCGTTTTCTGTAAAACAAAATAAAATAAAACGTATATTAATATGCCATAAAGCCATACGAGTAATTTAGTCAAGCTGTATTCCATACATATAAGAAAAGTAAAAAAAAATTAGGTATGTGCAACCATTCTAGTCACAATCAATAAAAAAATAAATATAATTGAATAGATTTTGTGAATAGGAGAGGTACGCAGTAATTAATTTTATTAAAACCCTTAATAATAATGTCTACTGTCTAGGTATGTACATTTGGTACTTATGGAAAGTTATAACGCATGATAAAATAACTATTCTTAATCATTACGATTGCCTAAATAGAACCCATTGAAAACTTTATTATTATTTATTTCGCCTTTTTTAGAAATACAGAAAATAAGTCTTTCAAATATATTGTATTTACCTTCACATGTCGGACAACATGTTCCCGGTTTGGCTGATGGCGCTGGGCATTGAACTATTGGGCAAATTATTAGATCACATGTTACCCTACCGTAGTGGCAATTGCACATGTAACATTCGTCTACTGAAGATGTCCATTGTGCACCGTGTTGATAGTACTTTTGTCCGTGCAAACAGCTTAGATGCGACGTGTGCTGATGATCTGATTCATCGTTGTTCATCAGTATATTGTTGGAATCATTTTCGCTTGCCTCGTGAGAATAACAAACTACAGGAACATTAACCTGATAATAATATCCCGAATGAACATGAATAATGCAGCGGGGAAAAAATGGATAATTTACTCAATGGAAGAACTAACATGTTTCCATTCGGTTTTCAGTATGGACTGTCCTAGTTTTGGATCCCACAGGTCCACGTGTACGATGTTCGTGTTGAGACGTAACAATTCTTCTTGACTGAGACCAATGGTATACCCTTCAAATGAAGGCCCTTCGAACTCTTCAAGTAGTCTTCGAAAAACCGGGGCTCCGGGAATCGAAAGCGGCGAGTCCTCGACGTATAGTTCAAAAAGACGATTTTTCACGTTGGAGCCCGATAGAACAACCTGCACAGAGTATTTCGTCTTTATAGACGTGCGGAACGCGGCACAGACCGTTAAAACGCAACAGCAAAAGCTTACTTCATACTGCAGCGTGCAATCGGGGTCCACAGTCATCCATAAAAGTCCGACCATCGACCGTTCGTCGGGGCTGGACAGCAGCATTGCGCCCGCCGTATCTCTGGCATCGGCCACGGGCCTCCATAAGAATCTGCTCTTGAAGCCAGACGACGCACTGAACAAGCTCAGCTCTTCGGCATACAACTGCTCCAGGTGCACCGGGCCCATGGTAGACACGGTTCCGTTGCTCCAGTTCTGTACAATCGACTCAGATATGTCGAGGGCTGATACTCGGGATTCGCCAGAAACTGTATAGGAAACGCGGAAAGGAAATTAAATAATTATGTTTAACGAGATCACGTTAAATCGAGTGCATCTATTTCTGTAGTCTCACCAATGGCCAACTCAGTGACTGCGTTATTGTCAAATTTAACACGATACTCCAACGCTCCGTCCTTATTAATAAAGGCCCATGCGACGCCACTGGTTCTGCCAAAACACATTAAAAACAAGAGCATTATTCAAAACGATCGGAACCGCGCCAGATAGTTATAACCGCTAAGCGAATAATTTATTTCCGAGCGTAATCGCCGAACATATCTCAACCGCCGCCGCTCAAGTAGAAAACGAAGTAACAATGTAGATGATTTGAATTATGTCCTCTGTTAATGACTCGCTATATATACGCATTTATATATTTATACGAGCGCACATGCGCACATAAACATACACACACACGTATACAGACTAGAGTATATTCAAAATGAGTTTTTATAAAAGAATTATTGTAAATATTTACTATCATTTCACACATTTTTCCGTCCCCGGTCTATATAGTACATCTCGAATGTAGTCTCGAACTACATATAAAAAAATCACACTTCGGATGAACGAATGGGAAATGGAACAATTCGGTTATACACATAAATAATTTAAGTGAACCGAGGTTATTCACACGGTTAACCATTTCAACTTTAATTTCGAGCAAAATTTATTGGTAGTAGTTTCGTTAGAGACAAGCTGTATAACTCAGGTTTCTCTTTCAAATACCCTTTTTTTCCGTATTTTGCCAAACTGATCGCGACGCAATGCTAAAAGTATTTTTATAATAATCATGTGCTTGATGTGCACACAGACGCGTAATTACGAATTAAATTCCATACGATGCACTCAAGTGCATTTTAAGTAGATAGGTACACGGCCAAACGACGACGATTGCGAACAATTGCAGCGGAAACCACGTGGAAAATGCGTCTAAATACCTGTCTTTTTTCGAGTCCACTTGATGGCTATTAGACACAACCAGTGTTTGGTAAATATCGCAGAATACGCGGGGTTCGACAGTCCCTTGCAATTTGAAACTCGACTGTTTGGATTCCAGGGTAATAATGAGATCTTGTTTGGACAAAGCGTTGAGGTCGGAAAACGTAACGGGTGATTGTAACTCGATGACGATCGAACTATTTGTCATCTTTTCCACTCTAATGGTCTGCAATCATTTTTAAACAAAGATACACTATAATACACAGTTTATTCTTTATTTACATTTTGTTATCAAACGTAAATAGTTAAATTTTTTAATATTATCGATATAATTAAACAATGGGGTGAGGAAGGAGGGTAGCCTCTCTAAAACCATTAATGTGTATTTTTTTTTTTCACAACTTTACTTGGCAGTAATAAAAACGGTTATTAAAAATGTTATATTCTTCATTATATTATTAAAATGTAAACATACAACAAATAAGTTTGTCGAAAAGAAATATTACCGATAATTCGATGTGCATAATACATGCGTACATGGAAAATACAAATTGAGTATCAATAACGAAAATATTTTAAAACTCTTGACAAAAATAAATATTTATGGAACGATTTCACTGCTCGTAACTTATTTTTCTCCAAAAATAATCGCAGGATCTATAGCGTGGATTATTGGCTCGAAGATAAATATTATGCATAATAATGCGTGTAGGTATAAATCGGAATAACAGGAAGTTTCAACACATATACTACATTTGTTGTAAAAGTTGTCCTGTAACACCCGATATGAATGTTAATCATGTTAATATATTATGAAGGTTGCGAAAATGCACCATACTTCTTCCACAACGATACGCTCGTTCTCGGCATACTTCAGTTTGACCAAAAATGATCCAGTGTCTTGACCACCAAACGGGCCGTTGAACATGATTTGCATGTGTATGGACGGCGATACGGTCGATATGGAAACGATGCTCGTACCACCAGAGTCCCGTTTCGTGCCGGTGAGCAGTGAGCTGAATGTTTCTGTGTCCAACGCTCGAAACCTGAACATTGATCGTCGACCGTTTGTTAATATGAGTGCACACAGGTATAGTATAATATACACCGCAAGTACATACCATACACACAAAAACGGGCTTACGTGTTATCTCATATACACAATTATACAGAATATATATAACGCCTTTTAACCAATTAAAAATTTAATATGATGACATTTTTTTTTAAATCTTTAATTTTACTATTTTATTTTTTTTTAAGAAAAAAATTTTAATCAAATAACTTATTATTGCAGTGTTAATTATAAACTTTGAAAATTTGTTTTTCTCGCTTTAAGACTGGCGAATCTTGTACTATTTTCATAGTTTTATCATTAAATTCAAACGTAGTATGTACTACCCCTTTAGAATTCGCGCCCCTAGCGTAGGCACAGTTCGACATACTCTTACTATGTCACTGTGTGCAGTAATGCAATTAAGACTTATTATCAGAGTGGGCTTACACAAAACACGTTAGAAATACGATTCGCTTAACAATCCAATTTTTAGTAATTCCTTCGTTTATGAAGCATGCGACGACGTTGGAGATTGCTAACGATTTTAGTAGAATTATACGACAAAAAGAAAGTCAAGGGGAGGGGGTACGATGCACACTCCTATAATTACGCCACTGCGTGTGTATTTATACATGTATATATTATTATACGCGCATACGTTCACCTGTAAAGATGACCGCCGATGATTGCCGTATCCCAGACCAGCGACACGGACATCCTTTCTTCGCGCAACAACCGCTTGTAGTCTTTGGACACGCGACGCCAAACGCCGCAGATTTTCCCAGTCAGGTTCTGATAGATGGTGCTCGGCAACAGCGTCTGGAAAAATACATCATACAGTCAATAATCATTTAATTAGGTGATCACCGGGACAACATTTAATTGAGTTCCAGACTAGGTGCTTTCAGTTTTTGAATTGTATCCGGTATATTTTCTTAATACGTTCGAAGTAAACGACAAGTACACAACGATAACGTATTGGAAAATTGCAAAACTAACTCAACCATAAAAAGTGTGATGAAAAATTGCTCGATAGACAAAACATTAGTAATAACTTGCGTTAAAAATAAAGTTGTCAAGGATATTTCTGCCCCACCATTTAAGATTTTCTGTAATGAACTTTTAAGACGGCGATGGTTCAACTGACACGACAATACAGGCATAGGCTTGAGTAGACCTGTATTTCAGAGGATTTCTATAATACTTTTGGGCCTTGTCTTATTATCAAAACGTATAGGTATATCTAAAGCCGCGTCTACACATAGAAAACATTTGTCGATAACATGTGTTTCCGCCATTGTCGCCGACAAAATTTTTAAAAATATTTTTAAAATTTGTCGCTAACGTTATTGCCGACAATGTCAGCGACAAAATTTTGCTATCGATCGAAAAGTGGTAAACTTCAAAGGATGTTTATCAACATTGTCGTCGACAATGTATCGAGACGACCAGACCAACGACATGACTAGACGTGTTATTACATGATTTAATATACTCCCCCAATTTCGATATATTTACGTTATTGTATTATTTTGAGTTCAGTCAATCAAGAAGTTTTGACGTGAATCTGGTCGTTTTTTTATTCATATATAATTACTTATATTAAAATTTATAATATTCTAATTTGATTCACTATACATTTATATTTTAATTTTATTTAACCGCGATGGAGTTGACTAAAGAAAAAATTTGTCAATGTGATTTATACTATGAAAGGTCAATATTATGGGACCAAACGCAGTCAAATTATAAAAATAACTTTAAAAAAAATGACACGTGGAGTAAAATTTCGGAAGTAATGGGTGAAATTGAGAAAAAAATGAAAAATCTTATCGGGCAATTTTATCATGAGTGCAAAAGAATGAAATCTGGAGTTATTTTATTAAAATTATGTAAGCAGCAGCAGCAGCAACAGCAGCAGCAGCAGCGATCGCATTGTCATTCTCGAACGACATTTTGGTAAAGAATAAATGATTAATAAATTTGTTACTCAGATCTGGAAGTGCGTGTTTTAAATTTATGTCGGCAACATTGTCGGAAACATTTTTTCATATTTTGTCGAGAACAATGTCGATGACAAATGTATCTAGGTGTGGACGCGGTTTAATAAATTATAATATATAAATAATTAAATAAAAATAACTTTTATTTCTATTTAATATTGTGTTATATTAGTCCCATATGTTTTCTTTGAATCTTATATATTTTTCTCAGCTTCAATTATTTATAATTTGCAATTTTGTAGCCAATTGTAGCTGTTATATTACCATAAAAAGTTTTTGCACGAGAATGTAAAACATTTTGTTTTATTTTCTCTATTACGAAACATCATTTATTTTTTACCAATTATTTTAGAATAAATGACATTTAATTTGAAAAAAATCAGTTAAAATATAGGCTTCTTACTTTTAACTTAAATTTACTGAAATTATAGGGCCCCAATTACAATATTTCGGGTGGTGCCCAGGCACGCCTATGAATTTAGGCACGTGGTTTTAACCAAACAAAACTATTTAAATCGTGCTCGTTCAACACTCTATCCTAAATTGACCATTTAGTGTAAAATAAACCCAATATACTTCACGATATATGAATATTATAAAAAATAATGACATAGCTTCAAGTTCTCAATTCAATTCAATATTTGGAACTCGATTTAAATTTTCCCGATAGTCACCAATTAAAAATCGCGCGGTCGGTGGGCTCACAATTTCCTCGATGATGTTGCCGTTGGTGTCGACAAACTGCACAGTTTTAGGCCGGTCAGGTTTGTTGGTGTAAAACGAAAAGTACAAGTGTTTTCGGTAGAACGTGAACCGTCCAGTGGCGACGTAATCCAATCCCGTTTCTTGCGCTGACGTTGGCAGGAAGTCCATTTTTTTCGGGTCACCAGATCTCGATGATTGGCCGGTCAATATCGCGGCAAAGTCTGCAATAGCAATAACAACTATATTATTACATCGTGCAACTGGTCGATCGATAATTAATTACTAGGACGGCAGTTTATTATTATTAATATTATTATAATTATTATCTTGTATATACAAAATATGCGCATTTTCAACCAAACAATTTCTCTTTAATTTAATTTCAAATGAGTGGTAAAAATATAAACAAAAAAATTATATTTCACGCAGTTAAATATAATAATGTTATTATGACGAGAATAATAAACGTATTATAAAAAAAATAGCTATAAAAAAAGGCTTTTAAATGTTTTACTGATTAAAACTCAAAAATTGTATGTACTTGTAATGCATGAAAAAATGTCAATTCAAAAATCGTTTTTAGTTCCTCGACGCCTTTATAACTCTTTTATATTTAGAAGTACCCTATATATCTGAATATCAACTCTTGTTTTTAAAACGAATATAATACAAATAATTAATCTTTCAAATTAATTAGGAGAACTTAGGTACAATAAAATAATACTTATCGTTAAACTACTGCAAATTATCTTAGAAATGCAGGTACTCACAAGTGCCAAGTGGGGAGCATAAGCGACGGTTTAGATAAGGTCGGATTAATGAGGGAGGGGTCGACATGGCGATCACCTACTCCCTTTGGACATTTTTTATTGCAGATTAACATTTTTATGTAATATTGTTGGTTTTCCAAAAAATTAAGAAAACTCGTTTGAAATTAATGTTTTTGAAAAATGGTTCAGTTTTTAGTTTTTTACTTGTATTCTTTTAAATTTTAAAGTTACACAAATATTGTATATAATAAACTTTGCAAAAGAGATTCATTTTCAATTTTGTAACATTAACCCTTTTATGAAAATCAAGAAAAACCTTCAGAATATTGTATATTTTAAAACATTTTATATATTAAAAAAAATATATATATATAAATTATAAGTTTAAAAAAATCGATTTTAACATTAAATATCAATTTTATATAATAAAACATTTAAGATTTCTTGTAACTTAATCTAGTGCTTGAAATATTAGAAAATAAAAACATATTTTATATGAATATTAAGTTTTGAAAAATAAATTATTTATTTTTCATCTTTATGGATATCTTCCATGGTTATAACTAAAGACTGGATTTAATAGATATTGATACCAGGTAAATCAAATCTGATCAAATATGTATACGAATCGGATTAATAAATTGCATTATTAAATTAATCGGACAGTCTTCCTATTTAATTTAATAATGCAATTTTTTGCAATTTTAAACGATTTTCCAATTTTTGCGATTATTGCAATTTTTGTATACTCACGTGATAAAATATACAAATTATTATTTCTAAAGTAATTTTACAATAAAAATATAACTACGACGTAAATTTTTACATAACGTTAAATGTAGTTTAGCGTTTTTAAAATTATATTTATTAGAGTTATCCACAAAACTCGCAAATTTTTGCAAATTTAGAAGAACAAATAGTCAATTATTTAACAGTTTAAACATATTTAGTGAAATCGAAAATATTTCAATAAAATATTCCGGGTCTCAATGGGAAAATAGTTAAAGATAAATTAAAATATGTCTTAGAAAAAAATGATGGATATAAAACTATTAAAACTTACTCTGGGGTTATGACAGGAAATCAAAATGTTAATTTAGATAGAGCACTAACATTTTTAAATATGCATCGATGACAAGTGTAGACGATGAACGTAATTTTTCATTATATAAACATATTTTAAGTAACATACGATACAATTTTCAAGAACACGACTTAAAGATTTATATAATTATAAATTTTAATTCAGAAAAATTATATATTTTTTTTTTTTTTTTTTTTTATTTTTATTAGCTTTTAGTATACAACTATGATAGCTCGACATTTACAGAGATTATAAATAAAACAACATTATACATTAAACATTAGTGTACATATTAAATAATGAAACCAGCATCCAATGATATATTTTATAAATATTATTTTAATGCCAATAATATTATTTAAGTAAGTAATTAATGAATATATTTGATATTTTAACATATTTTTACTGCAATTTTGACATAGTTTTAGAGCAATTTTAAGATATTTTCAATACAATTATAACCGGTCTTTAGTTATAACTTATAGAACATATTTTATATAAAATCAAACATATTAATTTATATTATATAAATTCATTACAGCTAATATTCTAAGCAAGTATACAATAATAAAAATAATATAGTATAAACATAATTATTGAAAAGAAAATTATAATAATTTTAAATGGTGTAAGCTAGTGTGCAATGTGCATATTTTACCTGGTAGCATATTTTATGATAAAAAATATTTATATTAATATTTATCAGTTAGGTATATATATAATATACCTAATAATAATAATCCCCCATTCAAACAAGCTTTAAATACATCCGTGGGTTAAGTTAATTTTATTTATCTAATCTTATTGGTGGTAAGGTAGTGACCACTAAGTCCAGAAAACTATAAAATCATAATATATTATAATATGAGTCGCGATTTTATTGACTTTGTGTATCTGAAGATGAGTTATTAATTCGAAATCGATCGTACTTTACAAATATATTAATACTCCATGCTAAGCATTTATTTATTTATTTCTGTATATATACTATTTGTTTATTTAGAGTATCAATAATTTACTAATTTTTAATTTTAATTAAACTTTTCATAGTAATTATTATCAATTAAATCGTAATTAAACTTAATACTATTTGACCAAATTCCTAATTGAACAATAATTGACTAATTTATTGATTAATACTAATAATTATTCATGTATAATTTAGTTGCATAATTAAATTTAAATAATATGATATCAATAGTGAGTGTTTTTTTTTAACTTTTATTCCTACACAACTTACTATGTTGAAAATTAATGATTTTCAATTCAAAAAATATACATCTTATTTTGTAAAATGATATTCATCATTTAAACTCGACAACTATTTTATTACTTAGAATCATTATTTATTAAAAAACGTAATAAAACAATCTATAAAATTATAATTAATTTTTTTTTTTTGCAGCTCTCGAGATTCTATGTCATTAGATGCGCTCATACTACATATTATTAAACAAAAAATATTAAAACCTGCTTACGTTTCATGCTTTTTTCTTCGTCATCTGGTGGATCTTGCACAAAATCATCTGAAACCAATAATATACATTATTTTATACATTTAAACTCAAGTAATCTACAAATTTAAAACAAAAATCAACATTAAAAAAAATTTTTAATTTAAACGATCTTAGCCTAGACTAATATCTCGGCAAATATTAATTATAAAGCAATATATATTTATGTATATATGTTTTATATTCGTGTATATATAATCCGCATTAAACCTTGGTGGCGGCCTGTCTGTACGTCTATATTGCCAAAGTATTTGCGCACGCCAGACTATTTTCGTCGTCATTTGAAACGTCATAGAGAGTATATAGAGTAGTTTCGGTAGTACAGCGTATCGAGAATATTGTGTATAAGGGAAACCAACGACATTGTATATAATATAATGTTCAAAAAAATTAATAATGCTATTTTAAATAAAAAATAATAAAATTCATACTACTGTGTTTTGTTAATTTTAAAAGGATTATCTATTTAAGCAGAATTCAATGTAAGATGGCCAAATTAAAATATTCAAAACAATAAGTTAGTGACTCTCCTTTCTAGACTTAGTAGATTTTTCACATTTTTACAAACGCATATCAGTTGATAATATTTTTTTGTGATTCTTCCGTTATTCAATGAATAAATAAATAATTTTATGTTATTATATTTATTGAGTATTTATTGTTGTATTCAAATTAATTATTAGTTTTATCTGCTTAAGGTAAATATGATTTATGTACACTACTTAATAAGCGAAACATATTCCTTTATAATATTTATTCAGTAATTTCAGCAAGAAAATTACTAATATTTAATTATTTATTTGAATAATTTTTATTGAAACGTTGAAGTAATTTAAATATTAAAATAAGATACTACTATAAAACAAATAACATAAGTGTACAATTAACAAAAAAAAAAAAAATAAAAATATTTATAAAAAAAGACAAACAAGATATTTAAATCGCATTCAGTTTATATCTAATACAACTGTTTAACCTAATTAAAAAAAGAGGAGGGGAAAATGGAAGAAATTAAGTAATTTCGTTTGCAAATTGGTTGTTTACAACATAGTTCAATGACACGATATTTTTAAGGCACGAAAATTGAACTATATTCTAAAACAGAACCATTTGGTTTAGTAATTTACAAACAAGCAGGTTTCACAGTTAAAAAAAAAAAGGTGAAATGTGTTAGTAAAAACAATATTAAATGTTTACATATATTTGTTTATAGACTTTTATTATAGAATATTTATAACTTATTGTTATTATTATTATTATTTACAACTTATTACTTATTACTTATTGCTCGTTACTACCAAGAAAAAATAAGAAAAGAAGTATGTCAAGATTTCAGCTATATTGAAAGACTTAACCAATCATTTTTATGAGCCTTTAAAATGTGTTCGAGACACAACAAATCGAACTTTTCTTAGAATGGTTTTTATTTCATATAAGCAAGCTACTGGTATTTCTTTCACTATATTAAAATGCATAACAAAACATGTGAAAGAATTTATGTATTAAAAATATTACTGTGACAATTTATATTTTAATAAAAAACTCACGTGCCTTTGGAATGTAATAATAAAAACTAATAATGTACTTGAACACTTATTATGTTTCATAAAAAAATATTGGAATCAAACTATTCCATTCAATCAACACAATTAAGAATTTTATGATAAAGTTCTCATAAACTTTTACAAATACACTTGTTATCAAACATATATATTGTATTTTTATACTTCCAGGTGACCCGGTTAATACACAAATACTTATATGTGTACCAATAAGGCATAAGAAGGTATGACCTATGTCCGCACTAGAAATAAATACCATTATGTAGAACACGTTTTGCGAATTTCTGTATTTTTTCTTTTACATTGTAATCATAATAATTGTCCCATTATTGTACCATTTTGTTCTTATTTATTAATTCACGAAGGCCATTCTTAAGAAATGGGTTAATATGGACGAGTAAGACATTGTCACGTACTACATGTTCAACAATAAATGATAGTACGTAATAAAACCAAAATATAAATATACATATAAATCATAAATACAGCATAATTATAAGAATTATCTGTATGATTTTTTTATTAACATAGATTTTTTTTTTAAAAATGATCGAAAATTGAAAATATTTGATTAACAGATTTAAATTCCTTTGTTAAAATCTTTATTTTATCGAATTTAAAAATAATACGGAATATGCTATTAAATCCGGATTTTTAATCACAGCTATTAATTTCATAATATATTGTTGTAAGAATATAATAAATTACAAAAAACTGTAATTTGCATACAGAAGGGAAGAAAAATATTTTTATAATTTGCATCTACAAGCTACTCGAAGAACTATTAAAATAGACAAATATAATACTATATTTTAAACGTCTATATTATATTTTTTAAATGTTTAACATGTGTGTGCCGAGTATTCCAAATAAGTATTAATATAATATATTATAGGTTAACAAATTAAGTACAAACGAAATATCTTACTGGCTTCATCTCCTGGACATGATTTGCAACATTTTCCTGGTAATAATATAGGTTCTTCACAATTGGGTTTTGGGCAATCGTTTTTTATGTTTCGACATTGCACTCGTCCAATAATTCTTCTCTTTTTTTGAACCTGAATAATTTATAAAATAATAGATAGTTATAGGTTTTATAACTTTTATTAATATAAATAAAAAATTTTATTAATTGTATGATACATAGTTTTTAATGATTTTTTATTAAATACATTTTTTATCTTTATATTTGCGGCATGTTTTATAAATTACGTTTTAACTTTCCGTACCATAACAGCCGCAATTTTACAGTCATCCAATTTCCAAGAAATAACCACATTTCTTTGAAATATTTTATTTTTTTGTCTTATGTTTGAACTCATTGGGTAAAAAGTAAACATATTAATAATAAAGGCATGTTTTGACTTAAAATTCGTGAAGCTATACACATACAATACTCAAAATTATAGTTTTAATTTAGCTCTAAAAATTAGTAATGTTTGAGTACAATTTGGAAAAACTAATAATAATTACTTTATCAATGCTAATTAAACATTTTTAATTCCGTACTTTTATTATAACAACAAATAGCGTAAAATAAAAATATCGACAAAAAATTAATTTTCAACACTAAACCGTTGAAATTTTTTTGTACTCGTATATTATGTATAGTTTACATAATAAAACTATAATAATAAAGTTAATGGCAATTTATGATTAAAGTAACGATATTCCCAAAAAGTTCTAAGAAACAAAAAAGTATTAAAAATAATTCTAATAAATAATAATAAATGTTATGAGTATGCCAAATTTAATCAATTTATGTAAACTGATAATATATATATTATACAAGCTGACCCGAGCTAACCATTTTGCTCGGCAACAAACATTTTTACTTATGATGAAATTATTTTGTGTGGTTCTTAGTACTGATTGTTTAAGATTTATTTTATTCATTTCATATTATATAGCTGACCCGACAACACTTAGCTATTTCTATATTTTTTATAGGTATATGTGATCTGGTGATCTTTGTATCACTTACAATTCATCCTTCTTTTAAATATATTTGGCTATCCCCTGTGCACATCGTTGCAGATAAAAATCGTTGTACAGGTTAAATTGTTCTGTTTTAATCATTTGTTTTAATTGTAGAAACTTTTTAGATAACCTAGTAATCTCGTAAGGTAAAAATAATCTACTTTGTGTTATTAGTGTAGGTAATGTAATGGAGGTAGTTGTATGTAATATGATGTTTTTTTTTAAATATTGACTAAAATAAAATTAAATACTATTTAAATTTATTTATTTATTTAATTTAATCAAATACTTCAGAGTAAATAACATTTTTTGTTTTCAAACCATCTAATATTATAATAAACTGATGTTCCAGTTTACCAGTTCTTGATAATCCCACATATAATATGTCGCAAATAAATACATATTGAAATGTTTAGCCTTGAGCCTCATTAATTGTAATAGCAAATTAAACATAATGGGCAATTGAAGTATATCAATACTATAAAGGTTAATTGTAAATCAGTATGCTTCATATGCATATGGGGCAATATTAAGGCAATTTCTCCTGTTGTACAATCAGAGCCAGCGAGAGGATGGGATAGGAAGGGTTGAGATCCCAGGATCCGTCGCCCCAACCTTTTATTCAAAATTATTTTATAATCTCATTCGCCGAAGTGTAAGATGCGAATTTAAATATTTTTACTGTACTAATAATATGTACAAGTATTACTCGTAAATTATAGCCAAACAAGTGTATGTAATGGGAGCTTGGAATCAATCAGAACTGGGCAATGTCGGTCTGGCTCATGATTGGGCCTCCGGCAAAAAATTTACAATGGGTCCCTTAACAACATAATATTGGTGGAGATTCAATAAATACAAACTCAAAATTTTTTTCGCTACGCTCAAATTCTATTAGAAATTTTTATTTATTTTTATTCTTATATTTTTCCAAAACCAATATTATCGAATTATCATTATGTTCGTATATAGCAGAGTTTCTCAAAGTGTGGTCCGCGGACCCCTGGGGGTCCGCGAG